ATGAACTGTTGTAAGTCAAGGACTACCTGTCCACAACTCCAGGGTTGTATTAAACTTTGGGCACCATGCCAAAGACTGTAATCCAAAGGCGGGCGGGGCCAGAGCCTGCATATTTAGAGAGATCCGAGGTGGCGCAGTGGTTAAATGCAGCACTGCAGGCTACTTCAGCTGANAAAGGGCGGCATATAAGTGCAATAAATTCAATTCAATTCAATTAGTTCGGAGAACCGGCAAATACCGCCTCTGGCTGGCCCCAGAGTGGGGTGGGAATGGAGATTTTGCAATATCCTTCCTCTACCATGCCCACAGAACTGGTAGTAAAAAAAAAAATTTGAATTTCACCACTGGTTGTAAGTGAAGGGTTACCTGTAGTCCTCGCGGTTCTCTTTTGAACAAGAATGAAACATTCCAGCACGGTGGACTAAGGAGAAATAGCAGAGAGTCTTCCACTCTCTAACATCTGTCATTTGAACCATCATTCCACCTAATGTTTGGGGAGACCATGAGTGACAGCCAGTGATTGCTGTCACTAAAGACATGCTAAGTAGGGTTATCCAAAATTAACAAGTCAAATACGGCTTATCAAAGGGTTGCATACATCCCCTTTCCATTCGGCTGCCATGTCTTGTCCTGTCTTCTGAAAAATAAAGCAGAAACAATAAAGCCAACTGCGCTTGTGATATGGAATCCCGGGCCTGCATAACGTTTTATTTCTGAGGATCTCTGTTTATTACCTCCTGATACGCTGAGAACATTCCTGCATGCCTTTCCACATGGAAGCACAAAATATTCTGCATTTTCAGCCCAGACCATACAATGTTATCTCCTTCTGCTGTCTTATGTAACTCCACAGGAATGTTGAAAGACTTTCCGGACTCTTGGAGGTTTAAAAGGTGAGGAAGGCAAAGTGTGTGTGGTGGTGGGGGATAGCTGGAGACTGGAATTTGATAGATCATTGCATTCAGTTTTTGGGCAAAGGAGTTATTGCAATTAAGATACTAGCCGGATGTGTGGTCTCGAGCTCGGCTGATACTGAAGGAATGTATTGATAGTGCAAACTCACAAAAAGTGATTTGGAAATTGGTCACATTCTGTATGTCCTTAAAGAAATGACACTACTATATATGGAAGTATTAACTGAACCTATGCAATAACCACCCAAATGTTCTGTTGTACTTAATAACGCTCCATTCTGTGAGATGTGGTTTGAAATATTCTATGGGAAATAGTTTGAAAAGGTTTCTTTTCCTAGCCATAATGCAAAACGGTCAGCATAAACTTTTAAGTGCCTAGAAAGCAGGCTTAATTCCTGGCATATTAACTGTGCAAAACCATATCTGACTGCAAAGAATTAAGAGTTTCCAATGGTGAATCTTTCTCCCAGGTACGTATTTTGAGAGTGGCACTTTTTCTCAGATAGGCAGTAAATCAAACAGAATATTTTCAGCTCATCAAATCTGGTTTTTTTTTAATGGCATAGGACAATGATGGCAAATCTTTTTCTTATAGTGCGCCAAAAGTGTGGGCATGCGTGCCCACACCAATTCAGTCCCCTGCGCCCACCTGCGCATGTGCTTGCNAATTAAAAAAAAAAGAAATCCAGCTAACCTCTCCTGCACCACTATTAAACAAGACAATAACACAAAAGCAGAACATTAGAAGCAAACCATTGTGTTGCAAACTATTTTCTTTTCTCCTCCAAAAACAAGCATAGGACTAAAGATATCCCTTATCTTCGTGTCCTTTCATTCAACCCTGTTTCAAAGCTAGTAAAATGGCAAATGGACACATTAAAACATCTCGCATTTACCTAATTAAGTTTTTTTTTTTAAAGTAACCCTCCACAATATCAAACTTAGTACAGCTTTCCCCATACAGGTGCTGCCCAGATGTTTTGGATTACAAACTCAATTCCCAGCCAATATATCCATTAGCATGGTGGAATAAGAACATTTCTGGACATGATGTGGGATCCCATGTGGTTTCCATGACATTGGTGATTTAACCAAAGCAACAACCATCCAACTTTTTTTTCTTTCCTGAGGTTTGGGAAGAGTGTAAGCAAATCACTAGCTCAATTTGTAATTTTGCTTCTATTAAATTACTCCTCCTTTCCATTAAGATATTCCATCAATAGATTGCTAGAATTAAAAATATGCACTACCACTTTCTTTTTCTACCTAAACCAAAGGCACCAATTAAAGATACTTAGCAGTTTACATATAACGTTTTGTTCTATACCGATAAAAAATATTTTATAAACAAAAACAGCCAGCTACACATACTCAATATTCAAAGGCTTGAAATTTCATGTTCTAATGGTTGCCACTCATTTTTTTTCCCAATCTAATTGCACCTTTAATGGTGGTTTGGCCTATAAAGATGCAGAAAGGGGAAGGAAGCTTGGGAAGGAAAATAGTCAAGCTAAAATGTTATTGTGTAATTAATGTGTCTAGCTTCAGATTAGGAGCTACGAAGAGGGAAAAGCAAAATTATATAGGGTTAACCTACTTTGACTGTCAGTCAAAATTCTTACAGGAGCCGAGGTGGCGCAGTGGTTAAATGCAGCACTGCAGGCTACTTCAGCTGACTGTAGTTCTGCAGTTCGGCTGTTCAAATCTTACCGGCTCAGG